TAATAGCAGTGATTGTTTGGTATTATGATTATCACGGCATTCAAATCATTATCGTTGTTATCATTGTTTCCATTTTAGTATTCATTACAGCATTTATTACTATTAAAAATAGGTATTTAAGACATTTTATCACGTTATATGTTACATGTATAATCCCTATTTATGCTATTCATATATCTTTACGCAATATTTTATTCCTTAAATAACTGTTTAATTCTTAACTAGCATTTAAAATATTATTTATAACTCATATAATAAGGGAATTAATTGATGAAAACAATGCAATTAATATGTAATGATTAGAAAAGTGAAGCGAAGACAACGACCGCACGACGAGACCGACGAGAGCCTGGAATCGATGGTATTGTCCAACCCTTCCGTCGCCGACATCGATATGAATGGCAGACAAAGAGAGCGTAATATTAGTTTAAGCGAAGACTCTCTGGCGTTAAGGCAATCATTTTTCTCATCACAAACTGTCAGACCTGTCATTGAAGACGAAGACAAGATCAGAGAGTCAATCATATCCAACAATGAAGTGCCGCCGACTTATGACGAGGCAAAACAATTGCCAAATTCATAATCAAACGCACATTTTCTTAACCATTGATTATAATATTATTTTTAGATTATTTTGTTAATTCTATTAAAATTGTTGTGGAATTTTCGTATTACTTTTACAAGTATTTGTTTAAATAAATATTTACACAATAAATAATTTATTAAAAAACTAATAAAATAATAATTAATTCAATTTTGTAATAAGGGTTCACATATTACGTTGGCACTTTTTCAGAAATCTAGACCCCTCTCCCTTATGTTCGCAATTGTTCGCCTGTCCCTAACCCACACATCACCCCTAAGAAATATTTCAAAACCTGGAAATAAAACTATTTCGATTTAAAAGTAATAGATTTATTTAAAATTTCTTATCAAACTGTTGTTATCAAAAGGTAAACCTTGGTAAAAATTAATCCTTAAACACGCATTAAATTGTTTAAATGCAAACTTTCTAAATGTCTCTACCCCTCCCCTCCCATCGTTTGAATAAGGTCGCTTTGGCCGACACCCCCTCACACCAAGTGCGAACGTAATAAGTGACTAAATCTAAACTTTAATGATTTTCTATTCGATACATTAATTTCATTGTATAATTTATTATTACGTTTGAATGTCTCATTAAATATTAGGATAATTTTTAGTTAAGTTAGAATTGTAATTATTTCTCATTATAATAAATAAAAGTACAATAATTAATTTGGTCTTATTTTATAATATCAAACAAATATTATTATTATTATTTAAGTGATAAAATATTTTAATACTAGAAACAAATGCAAACAACTTATGAATAATAATTTCTTTTTGAGTTCTTCTGTCACAATAAAACAAATTCATAAGAAATGACTATTTTTTGAAAATCAATAAATGATAGGATATTTGCATTTATAATATTTTCATGCATTTATAATAGAGTGGATTATTTTACATACAATGTGTGGCATATTATTCTCATATTATTTATGCATATAATATATTCAATTCGCTTACGAATTATACAATTCTGTTTCAAAAATTGATTTTTTTCAATGTTATTCTTAGAAATGTTCAGTTATTGAACTAACGTTATATAATTGATAACATTGTTATAGTACTGTTGTTTTATAGAAATTTATTTTATGTTATTTTGAAGTTAACGTTTACATGTTATGATATTATGCTATAACTTTTATTACCTTATTCATTATTTGTAATAGTAATGTGCGATCTCTCAAGAATTTTATTTGTTTTTAAACATCTATTTGCAACTAATAATTCATTTCTTGAATACCTCCTTATTATTGATTTGAATTAATATTTAGTGTATTTTATATCGATTATTACAATATTATAAAAAACAAATTATGATTTTATACATAAGATTGTCTAAATAGAATTCATTTTTGCTCCTGTGACCAATCCAATTGTAAAATTGATCATGCAACATTTTAAAATATACCTAATATAACCCACATTAATGTCATTAATATACTTTCATTGATTTCTGACAATAATCTCATGAGTTTTATAGTGTTTTTAGTGTTTTTTTAAATATAAAAACCATTCATTATATAACAAAACACAGAACTAATAGATTTCGTTGTTATAATACATGCGTAAAGAGAGAGACAATTTGCTCCGAGAAAAGCCTCATATATTATGTGACATCTAATTAATTATGAAGATCGCAGAAAAATTCAATTTCCCATAACTTCACTCTCACTCCTCAACTATCGGACAATGTTTTTGGGAATATTGTATTGTTTTTATGTTTCTATGATTTTCATTACTAAATCAAATGTTTGTGCAAATTATAAATGCTATAACAAATCAATTGTTTGACTTTCCATATGTTGTTACTCTTGTTGTGAACTAAAACTGTCAAACATTTGTTACAATTGTTATTATAATACTTTTCATACGATAAAACTCACAGAATATTCGTTACATAAATGTTGCCAATAGTTTTGAAAATGGTTTATAAAAGAGTACTTTTCATTGTTTACTATATATTCTTAAAAAAATATTAAGAATTTAAAGAATTTGTCAAAATTCTATAATTATTCTTAATTTGTTTGTTTGTAATAATGAAAGTGAAATTCAAAACATATTTAATGAAATAAATTAAGAAAAGTCAATAAACTATAAAACGTTAGAAAACTTTAAAAATAGTGAGAGATTTTAAACCATAAATGAGTATAGAGTCGGCACGAAATGGGCAATAATGTGACGACAACTCCCGTCCAAGTAATGAAAATCGATGACAATAATAAAGACGACAAACAGGACGGCAACGATATTCACTCTATTAATGATAAAAACAAAATTAATGACTCCTCTTATGAGGACTACAACACTGAACACCAAAATAGCTATTTAGACGACTATAAAAATGATGAGCACTTCAATGCCGACTGGAATTACAATCAACAGTATATGGGTTTGTCTTTACATTATATTTAACTGTAATGTAAATTACATATTATTTAATCGATAAAACACATCATTTAATTTAATGCAATTAACAGTATATTATAAAATAATGTTTGAATTTTATTGTCAAACATCACATTATGATAGTTTATTGTAGATATAATTTTGCATTAGTTGTGACATTACATTATAGAGTAGATAAATAAGTAATAATGTATTGATTAAAATGTTTAGAATTGTTAAAATGAAATCTCTATTCAGAAGGAGGAAAAGTATGATCTATTAATTTAAATATAATTATTTGAATAATATTTATATTAACTTATATTTATAATTAATTTGGATTTTAAAGGGTATCCAAATGAAGGAACCACTGAAACGATAACCAATGAAATAAATCCCGTGAATAATGTGACGGAAGAGAAGTTAAATTCTGTTAAAGAATATAACAACGAGAGAAAGGATGTGTTCAACGAAATATTGGACCAAAAGAGTTCGCATGACACGAATCCCATGAGGACTACATCCATAGCCCGAATGCCTAATCTGGAGAAGACATACAGTTTGCCGGTTGTGGTGAAGAGTTTTGACGGAAACAAAGACTACATCAGAGAAATCGACGACTTGGAGAGCATTGAAAGTGATTCAAAGCTTATACTAAATGATGCCAAAAGCGATACCGAAGAAGTGATTCAAGAGCTCAACAAATTAGACCTCGATTTGGATGAAAAGGAAACCAAATATCCGACCAGTTATTCAAACCGTAAAAGAGGTCAGTCGTGGAGTAATTGGGACAACAATATGCTCGTCGATCTCAACGCTGAAGTATTTATTTAAAATTTTTATCATTTTGTAATTTTATTAAATGTCTTAATTCTTGATTGTGTTTGAATAGTCGAGTTTAAGCAGTTTTTCTCGTCCGGCCTCTACTAACGACATCCCAGCCCTTAAAACCAAGTCATATACGGCACCCGAAACCAGAGGACAAATGGATTACATTGAATTTCTCGCCAAACAGGTATTTAATCAGTTTATTATTACCCGAATAATTTTTAATGATTCAATCTAATTAATTATTCATGTTTTGTATATTTTCAAACATAATTTTTTGAAAAGTGTTTTATTGTTCAATATTTTTGTATTACCGGTACTGTTGTCATAGAAAAGAAGTGACAAAACAAGCCGAGAGAGAGAGACTTAATTTGAGAGGAAAGTCAAATAATTTTATTATTGTTTTTGTATGTGTTTTGTTTGCATTAATTCTTGTTTCTTTATTTTTTCTCTGTTTTTAATTTCATTGAATTTGATGTCAATTTGGATACCCTTTAAAATCCAAATTAATTATAAATATAAGTTAATATAAATATTATTCAAATAATTATATTTAAATTAATAGATCATACTTTTCCTCCTTCTGAATAGAGAGAGAGAGAGAGAGAGAGAGATTATTGATTGATCTCAACCTAAATTTTTATTTCATAAATTATAATTAAGTCAAATTAAAATATTCATAATTATATACAGTAGAGTACATGTCAACATTAAAAACTAACATGAATTTCCAGACTTAAACAATTATTTAAATAATAATATGAATAATCTATTACCGTAAGAGCTTATAATGTATTTAACTGGTTCTCTATACCAAATACACATGTAGTACAGTATACTGTAAACAATTAAAAATGCATTGAACTATAAGTAAAGTAATTGATAATTACAGTCTGTGCGGGCAGAGAATGACAAAAATTTAGAGAAAAGCACATGAGTGGCAGCACTTGTATGACTACCATGCTTTGGATTTTGAAGTATGCATCACTCTGCTTTCCCGAAAAAATGTAGCATATATTCACTATGATCAAAACATATACATAAAAACCGGTTTTGTACAAACAATATTCTAATGCAAAATATAAGGATTAACTCCAGATCGCGTTATTTATATAAGATATTAAGACAGGACTATATTTTAAATTTAAAAAGCATTTAATTTATACTTTTATATCTTTTTTCTTGCTCTTTATAAGAATAATGTACTCATGTACAATTATCTGACATAAACATAGTGACCCCCAGTGAATTCTTATTTTTTGAATTAGAATATTGTTTGTACAAAACCGATTTTTATGTATATGTTTTGATCATAGTGAATATATGCTACATTTTTTCGGGAAAGCAGGGTGATGCATACTTCAAAATCCAAAGCATGGTAGTCATACAAGTGCTGCCACTCATGTGCTTTTCTTTAAATTTTTGTCATTCTCTGCCCGCACAGACTGTACATTGTAATGAATTTATAGCACGGACTGGAAATCGGAAGCGCTGTTGAGTTTGAAAAGCAAAAGTCAAGGGATGGTAGGGATGGCCGACAATTTAGCAGAAATACATTCCGAGTTAGTATTAATTTAATTTGAGACTTGATTTAATAATTAATACAATTAATTGATTTGTAAATACTATTTCTAAAGCAGTTGAGTTCAATGGAAATTCCTGGAAGCATATCATTGTCTTCAACGCCAAGTACTAAACACTTCATTTAGTTTTCAAATAATTTCTTATTTAACAAATATTTCAATTTTAATTGCAGTGATATCTGAAAGTCATACCCCTTTGAACACCAAATACGATGAATTGGATCAACAAATCATGAATTCAATTGAAAATGATTTCGTCCGATAAATCATTCATTCATTAAAATTGATTCGCATTTTGTATTACAAGTTATTAAACTNTCATTCATTCATTAAAATTGATTCGCATTTTGTATTACAAGTTATTAAACTATTCATAGATTTATAAAAACATTGTTTTGTATAAATTTATAAGAATTTAATACATATTTGTTGAACAAAAATTAGTAAATCATAAATTGTTGTTAATTGTGATAAATAATAGATTTTTATTCGTATTTCGATATAAAGTTAAACATTTTTAGTGACTTCAAGAATAGTAATCAAAATAAATAATTTCAAAGTAAAAATCAAGAGATCAATCGTTGGGACAAATAAATTGCAAAATTATAATTGTAATCAAAATAATGAATTTGGTATCAAAACTAATGATTGTTGCGAATGGGAGTGAAAGAGGGGCTATAGTTGACCGCATCGTTTGGCTTGAAGTTGCCGTTCACTGTTGAACAGAGCCGACGGACGGAAGTGGCGCTAGTGTTGGCCACGTGTCCATTGGATCGGCCGGTGGTGTCTCCGCCGCCGCCGACCACACCATTGGATTGGATGGGGTTTTGAATGTTGAAAGCGGTGCCAAAACTCATCTCTTGGTTCGCTATCAACACGTAATGAAAAACATTGTATTAATACTGGAAAACTAATGGCCAGATATATGTCATACCAATAGCGATCTTTTTGACGGCCATTCCTATATCACCCAAACAGTCGCGAATTGCCGTGTATTTCAAACACGCGATGATCTGTTCCGGTGTCAGTGTTGTCATCGCGAGCTCTATCGACAGCTGTTCGCAAGCCTTCAGATATTGGCCGCAAAGAGCGGCCGAAGAACCACTGACCACGGGTTCGGTCGCTTCAGTCGTACGGCTGTTATTGTCCACCATTTCGGGCGACGGCGGGTCAAGCAATGGCGGGTCAGGCAATGGCAGCTCAGGTAAGAGTTGCGGCGGATTATTATCGTTCGCATTATCCGTGACAACGCTCTTCTTGGGGACCATTTGAAGCGAACTCTTGGGCCGACGGCCTCTCAAACGCTGTCCACTCAATTGAGCGCTTTTGTGTTTCTTAGTGAAGGCCCGCTTCAACTCAGCGATTGACACCCCTTTACGACTGGACGCAGGAGTCTTGTGACCATTGGATGGCCCGTCGGATGTGACGCTCAGTACGGGATCGGCGGACCCGGTCTTCATAGCTCTCATTTTCTGAACGCTCTCTTTCTTGCGGCGGATCTTCTCCTCATAGTCTCCACATTTCACACAACGACAGTCACTGAACGGACACGAAGTATGGCCTGATATAAGACAATACATGAGTGGTGTTAGAGTAGAGCACATGAGAGGGTCGGGAGGGCTATACCTTTGAAGGGGTTTGAGATGTCGTGAGCCTTACATCTGTTGCACATTTTGGTCACTTTACTGGCCGTGTCTTCGGATTCGTGTTTTCGGGTCCTCATGTCTGGTCCAGAGGTGTGACACTCAATGATATGTACGGCTAATGAGAAATGCGGTCAAAACACGTGTTGTCTGAACCAAAACAATGCGATCAGAAGTGAAAACAATGAGAGAAAAGCGCAAACGTTTGGGTCATTTGTCACGTGTTTTACAGTCATATGAGTTGACAAAACCAGTCATTCAGTCAATGCATTCACTGCTTGTATTCCGCACTCTATTATTGTTTGCATTCATTACTAACGCTATTATTATTATTGCTATCGTTTTGTCGCTAATGAAAAAACTTTGAAAAACTTTTTACAACAAATTACAGTTACGCCCCGATTCTGGCATATGATTGGTGCTGTGAAAAATGTGCTAAAATCAAATTCTACTAAAATGTGCCTGTGCCAAAATCGAGTGTAACTATATTTGCATTCAATTCATTGATTCCCAAACTGAATGTCAGTCACATTCACTCGTATTCATCGCAAATATATAAGAATTTATTGCATAATATATTCAATACAAAAAGAGTCAAATAATAGTAATTTTGATTATAATTGTAATTAGATTCGGTTTTTATTCTTAAAAAGTTTAATTAATGGAAAATAAATTTTTTCGTTGAGCGCTAAGTCGAAGAACTGCGGCGGAAGCGCTTCCAACAGTGTTGCCATAACCCTCTCCTCCAGTCCATAGACATAGTAATAGGGTTTAGGCGTTACGTTAGTCACGGAGTCGATCATCGCGTCCACCACTTCCTGAGGCCTGTCCTTAGAAGTAGCCATCACTGCATCGATC